AGTACGCGCCACATGAATAGACCCATACAGTTTTTCATCGATAAATTTTTACATATAGAAATTTGAGAAAAAGGAATTGCTTTGATTGAAAGCTAATGATTGGACGATCGCTTTGATATACGATTTGCCGCCATTTCTCCTGAGCATCACTTAAAATCACTCACAATCGATTTTCCCGCCCAGTAAACCGCGCCAGAGAAATAGACCCACACAACGTTCCGATCGATAAGGTAGTCAAATTCACAAGCCAAGGCTGCAAAGAATTGATAAATGCTTATTGATGACCTAAACACTGTCAGCGAACGCATCTGCAAGCGACGTATGGGCCACGGGACGCCCCTCTCGGACATGGAGCGAGGAATGATAATTACCCTGCACAGACACGGTTTTAGCCACAGGGCTATCGTAAAAGAGGTCGGAAGGTCCACCAAGGCCATTAGGTCAGCATTGACGCAGAAGGAAGCATATTGCACGCACTACAAGGACAGAAAGGCCACAGTTCTGGTAGGCCACCAAGAGCGGCTCCTCATTCGAGAGGCTTCAAAGACTGGTTTGTCAGCACGAGGCCTCAAGACCTGCCTGGACGTCGAAGCCTCGTTGAGGACATGCCAGCGACGATTGCAGTCATCGTCAATCATGGTGTACAGCAAGCGAAAGCGCATGCCGTTCCTCTTGAAACGGCACAAGGAAGAGCGTTTTTGTATGCAAAAATATATCTTGCCGAGCCACCTGCCTGGTCCGACATTATATGGTCGGACGAGAAGCGATTCAACTAGGATGGGTCAGATGGCCTCAAATACTATTGGCATGCTCTACGGAAGGAACCGGACACGATTTTTACGCGTCGAAATGGTGGAGGTGGGGTGATGGTTTGGGGAGCGCTTTCTTCTGCTGGTTTGTCTGAATTGGCATTTCTTTCTGGGAATCAAAACTCTGAATCATATTGTGATACGTTGGGAAATTATCTTTTTCCTTTTACTCATGAATTTTATGGCGAAGATTTAGTTTTTATGCAAGATGGAGCATCTATTCATAAGTCGAAGTATTCAATTGCATTTTTGAATGACGAAAATGCTACTCTTTTCGATCACCCTGCACTTTCTCCCGATTTAAACCCGACAGAAAATCTGTGGGGAATCCTTGCGCGTCAAGTTTACGCCAACGGCCGCCAGTTTACTACCCTCCCGGACCTCATTGTTGCCATCAAATCAGCTTGGTGGGGAATTAGCCGTTCGGTCATCGAAAGTCTCATCAAGTCCATGCCAAGGCGCTGCATGTCTGTGTTGGAAGCCAAGGGTGGCAAGACAGAGTATTAGCTCCCTAATTTAGTGCGTAAGCCATGTTTTCGCATTGTATAGCGCAGTGGGTCTATTCTACCGGCGCAAGGCCACACCACACTCCTCAGCAATCTAAATATGTATTGCATTTGCTTCGCCCAAGTTGTATTCTGACATGCTCGTACTGTCATATCGATCCTTTATAATCAACAGAGTAACGACAGAAATGACCAGGATCAAGGACGACCCATGAAGAGAGGGTGGGTCTATTCATGTGGCGCGTACTGTATATAATCGTCCGAAAAGACCACACACGACCAGTCGAAGGGACTTTCGGCATGTTGCATGGCCCATTTGAAACGAGACTGCTTATGCGCAGGCGTGAGCGGCAAGGTACGTTGCATTTTGGTGTAGTCGAGCAGATCACTTCGCTGCAGGACTCGTCGAGTCGTCCGGACATTGCAAGGTAGTTCGCAGGCCTTGTGTAAGGTTGAGGCGCTTGACCCAGTCTTGCAAGCTTCACGAACCAAACGTCGGATTTGCCGCTCGGAGAGAGCAACAGGTCTCCCAGGCTGCTTTTTGCTGCGCCCCTGCTGACGCAGGCAGCGAGAAATCACAGTGACAGACTTGCCAGTAACCGCGCGTATGGCACGGTACGACCAATTTGCCTCCCGAAGGCCCTTTATGCGGTCACGCATCTCATCGGTAAGTTGTTCTCGACCCATATTGCCGACTGACAGTGATTTCCCACGCGCTATTGGTTCACAAACACTCTTACAATCTTGGATTTTGTATAGCAAATTTTGTTCCTTGATTTTGTCTTGTCACAAATTGAACATTGAATAGAAAGTTCTCGATGCTGACGACTTGCTGCGCCGGTAGCTATAACTAGCTCTTCCTCAGTGCAATTGGCTCATCATACTCAAACAGCAACTCTCAACTCTCAAAACTTCGTGAGATATGCCATGAAATGTGAGTGTCCCTAAGTTTTGTCCATGAGTGTATGTGAAAAAGGCACACTATAATATAGAGGTTTTAGTGTGCTGAATATTTATATTTTTTTCTCCTTCCCTTTTGGTTTTGTCAAGGATTTGTCTTTTATAGGCCTGTTTTAGTTTAATTTGTACAGTTTTTTCATTCTATTGCGCAACCTTTCCCGTCTTTTCGTGACGAGTTTTTTTTCTTCCAGTTCTGGTTACTAATCGTTAGTAATCGAATGCATATAAAATTGTAATAATCCACCAATCCTGTCACATCAAACCTCTGCTGGGCCCCTCGATGCCCTCGCGGACTGTTAGTGAAATTGTCGAACGTTACAGATAATCACCATACAATAATTTAATTTGCTGTCTCAATCACATTGATACCATCAATCGGCTTAGCTCATGATTGACCAAATATGCATCAGCGGATGCAGTGGCATCCGATTCGATGACAAATTCGCATTATAAAGAGCATGATTGGACGATGACTTATATATGTCGCCAATCGTCATGAGCCAATGGTAACAAAGTGAAGTGAAATCACACTCACCACCAAACCAGGCCCACTTGGGAATCTTCGCTCTACAAACACCTTAAACACTTCTAGCTGACTCTGCACCTAGCCTAGCCTATGTAAACTATTCCCACTGCCCA